CTCAACTGCTTCTCTACTAATTTTTCTTGAACGAATCTTCTCTCAAACGTACTACGATTCGGCTAGCGAAGTTGAACGGTCTTCATCTTTCTCCTTCTACTAGATTGAGCATAGAATAGTGCTTTTTACCCTGATATGGGTGGTCCGGTTGGATTATTATTCGTTACACCACAGACCATAGTCAGATCATTAGTTGAAAACGCATTGGCTTTAGAAACCGGACCCTTTTTCATCCAACAAGTACCACCATTCCATTGCGTCCAAGTAAAATGAGTACAGCGTGGTGTTGCTGAACATTTTCCACCGCAAAGTTCCGGTTTAATTTGAACATTTGCAAGATCATTGCCATGAAAGTCACAAGACATGGCCCAGTTGTTTCCATTCCACATAATATTGCTTTTTACAAGATGAATCGATAAAATATTCATGGTCAGAAAAGCAACTTTAGTCCAGAAAAAAAGACTACCAGTCATTTTGTGATACCGTTTGTTCAATGTATATATAAATATTATTCCTAAACATAGAAATTGTTAATTGTTATCAATTACAAATTCTGCTTAGCGAATAGATTAAAAATGATTTCAGATTAAAAAAATATTGATATTCATCAAAATTAAGCCTAAAAATATTATTTATTCATTGATATTTGTTCTACTCGTGAAAGAAAATTTTGAAAGATTAGTTCAAAAAGACTAAAACCTTGATACGGTCCAGGATTATTTGACAATTATTTTCACAAAAAAGAAAAATAACCAGTTCAATATAATCTGTACCTTTCGGTATGTACTTCACTTCTGTCAGATAAATTGTCTGCAAGTGAAAACTACTGGACAATATTACACTTTCGATTTATTTGAAGTTATTTGCTTGAAATCGTCGATAATGATAATAAATGAATGAATAAATTCACTGGGATATGGTAGGTTTTATATACAGAGTATAACGTCTTTTCCCATGATAACAAGATTAGTATGTGTCATTGAAGAAGGGATTTTTCTCACTATGCATGAGTCATGATGAAAGGACAGAGAATACAAAAAAAAAGCAATTATGTTGCGAAAGACAATTAATCACTTACTGGGATAACGAATATGATTATTACACCCTATTAATGGAAAAAAACCCATAGATACTCATTTGCTTTAATTATATTCTTACACATAGCTGCAGAAAACAATATGAGACTGGTGATGACAGTCAATTAGTTCGATTTTTCTCAAAACACAGGACACATATATATGAATAAATATGTGTATAACCAGTAGGTCTCGAGCGCTACTGCATGTTCGCATCTTTCAAGCATGAAAAATGCTTTATTTGCTTTTAGTGTTATTAACTGTCGTCAGATTCAAATCGATCAGAAAAAAAAATACTCAACATGATGTTTCCGTACGATTATGTTTATATTCTTGTTAATATTTTAAAGTAAGTAAAAATTATTCATATGAAATAAACGATAGCAAATGAAGCAACTAGTTAAGAGAACTAAAAATTGAAATATTCTAGAGAATTGTAAAACACAGAAAGCAGACGGCGTCTGTATAAGAGTAATCCTGTCCGAATACCTTTTCATCACACACTAATTAGCATTCTAATTGTATTAATTGCTTGATTTTTATACACAGTAAAATTTCTCTAATATGAATTCCGTCGAGACTGATGTAAATCGTTCACATTAACAGGACGATCACTTTGATGTGGATTTAAGCGAAATTAAAGACGATGAAATGTTTTATGGTATGAGAGTTAAATGTATATATCATCTTCTCCTATTCGTTATATTATTTTTTCCAAAGATATAGTTTCCTTTCATTTTGTGTAAAAACGTTGCTTTTCAACAAAATATCACAAAGAATAATCTCACGTATGTCGTACAATTAGAGATTTCATAGGATTTAAACTAGTTTCCCTTCGTTTGAATATTTAGATCCTTTGAACTTTTGAGTTTTTTTCTTGAAAGATGTGTTTATGTTGTAGGTGGACTTTTACAAACAAGAGTTGTCTTCACATCTTATACGTCCTTTTCAGCGCAAAAAACTGAACTTTGCTGATCCAAACGTCGTGAATTTTAGTATTAATTTTAAATATCTTGACTCTAGACTATACAATCTATGGAATAGTTTCCAAGGTTTTCAAACTTTCATGATGTATCTAAGAGTCATTCGAACTTTTGGCAACTAATCTCCCGTAATTATCGTTTATCCTATATATAAGATCATTTTTTTTGCTTTGTTTCAATTTTTAGTCCTTTTTTCATTGCAGTAGATATATTTTTTTGACTTTAGTGAGTTAGACAATCCCGAGCCACCAATGAAATTGGGTGTAGATGATGATGCTCTTCTCACGCACACCCTCTTTTGAGGCCATGTCACTTCAAAATTAAAAATAAATATCATCATTCAATGCAGTTTGGTCAAATAATCCCAACTTCATACTTAGGTCTGACCAAAAGTTCTGAGACTCTTAAATAAAAATATAAAGATAAGGAGGTATATTCAATTTTATCAAATGTTGAGGATAGTTACCCTGATTATTTATATCAAGTTCGATTCTTTCTAACAATTTATTAAAAGGTTTTTTGAACTATTTTTCGAAAAAAATATTAGCTACTTTGGATACCGCATGAGTACATAATATTTCATCTATTTAACTAATTAAACTCCCTTCGATAGAGCTACTTAATCAAAGATTAGGTAGTATCAGGTATGGCGAATATGACTGCTGCCCAGGCGGACAAATTTTTGAGAAAACGCGTTTAAACGCACAGAAAGGGCGAAAAGTGGGCGTTTTTTAACTCACAATCGGGAACGTCAAGTGTGAACCAAAAACGTTCACTTTTGCTGATTTTAGGCCAATTTCTGTGCGCTTAAACGCGTTTTCTCAAACGTTTGTCTGCTTGGATGGCATCCTTTTTCCAGTCTAGCAAATTTGAAATATACTTGTATTATTGTGATTTCTTATTTCACTCTTACACCTTCACTCTTATAGAAAACTATGTTGATGATAAATTACTAAATACAACTACAATTTTTTTCTTTTAAGACATATTAGAAAAGAAAAAAAAGTTTTTAATTGGATGCTCAAAATATTCTTTTGAATCGGATATGATGAACGCATAGGACATTTTGAAAAGAACAGAATTTTGAGTAATATTCGCATTTCTGTATCGGATGTGAGTGTGAGTGTTCTCTTGACCTAAACTCTACCCACACCCATACCTACCCCACTCCCCAAGCCATACACACCCGTGGTTTACATTATACACTTATGAAAACATTTACGGTCACACATGTATAACACTCGATGAACACTTTTACATTAGAATGCATACGGTAGACGTCACTTTCGGTGTCGCCAAAAGCTTCGAAGATGACTGGAGTTCTTCTGTCTGATGAATAAAAGCTTCAACCAATTCTCTGCGCAGTTCTTCATCAGGAACGGGTACCTGTAGTTGTTCTTGGCTGCCATACAGCACGATAGTATTGCCAGTGACGGTGACCGCAGTTCCTTGTAGAAGTGCAACGACGGTTACCACAGGAAGCCACACAGTACTTCTTGTATGCAGAAACACCTTCACGAATTGATCTGGAGGAACAGTTCTCAAGGCACCCAACTCACCTTCCTTTATACTTTCAAAAAGTTTCGAAACTGTATCGGAGGATAACTGTGTTAATATCATATTAAAAGAAGATGCAGTAATAGTATTTATTTATTCTATT